TTCAGAATGTGCAAATAAACAAACATAATTCACCACATAAACAGAACTAAAGACAAAAACCACAGGTTTATCTCAATAGACACTGAAAAGGCCTTCAATAAAATTCAACATCCCTTTGTGTTAAAAATTCTCAATAAAATAGGTACTGAAGGAACATACCTCAAAATATTAAGAGTCATTTATGACAAATCCACAGCCAATATCATAATGGATGGGCAAAAGCTGGAAGCATTCCTCTTGAAAACTAACACAAGACAAGCATCCCCTCTCTCACCACTCTTATTCAACATAGTATTGGAAGTTCTGGCCAGGGCAATCAGGCAAGAGAAAGAAACAAAGTGTATTCAAATAGGAAAAGACAAAGTCAAATTGTCTTTGTTTGCAGATGAGATGATCCTATATCTAGAAAACACTATCAACTCAGCCCAAAAGCTTCTGACACTGATAAACAACTTCAGCAAAGTCTCAAGATACAAAATTAATGTGCAAAAATCACAAACATTTCTATACACCAACAGACAAGCAGAGACACAAATCAGGAATGAACTCCTATTTGCAATTGCCACAAAGAGAAAAAATATCTAGGAATACAGTTAACAAGGGAAGGGAAGGATCTCTTCAAGAAGAACTACAAACTACTGCTCAAGGAAATCAGAAAGGACACAAACAAATATAAAAACATTCCATATTCATGGATAGGAAGAATCAGTATCATGAAAATGGCCATACTATCCAAAGCAATATATAGATTCAGTTCTATTCCCATTAAACTACCATTGACATTCTTTACAGAATAGAAAAAAACAAACAAGCAAACAAACAAAACTGTCTTGACATTCATATAGAACCAAAAAGAGCTCATATTACCAGGACAGTCCTAGGCAAAAAGAACAAGTCTGAAGTCATCAGGCTACCAAACTTTAAACTATACTACAAGGTTATGGTAAGCAAAACAGCATGGAACTGATACAAAAACAGGTACATGGATCAATGGAACAGAATAGATAACTCAGAAATAAAAATACACATCTATAACCATCTGATCTTCAACAAACATGACAAAAACAAGCAATGGGGAAATGATTCCCAATTTAATAAATGGTGCTGGGAGAACTGGCTAGCCATATACAGAAAATTGAAACTGGACCACTTCTTTACACCTTATACAAAAATGAACTCAAGATGGATTACAAACTTAAATGTAAAACTCAAAACTATAAAAATCCTAGAAGAAAATCTAAGAAACACCATTCAGGACATAGGCATGGGCAAACATTTTATGATGAAATCACCAAAAGCATTTGCAACAAAAGCAAAAATTGACAAATATGATCTAATTAAACTAAAGAGCTTCTGCACAGCAAAAGAAGCTACCATCAGAGAAAACAGACAACCTACAGAATGGGAGAAAAATTTTCAGTCTACCCATCTGATAAAGGTCTAGTATCCCAAATCTATAAGGAGTTTAAGCAAATTTACAAGAAAAACAAACAACTACATTAAAAAGTGGGAAAAGGACATGAACAGACACTTCTCAAAAGGAGACATACATGCGGCCAACAAACATACAAAAAAAAAAAGCTCAAAATCACTGATCATTAGAGAAATGCAAATCAAAACCACAATGAGATACAATCTCACGTTAGTCAGAATGGTGATTATTAAGAGGTCAAGAAACAACAGATGTGGGCATGGTTGCGGAGAAATAGGAACACTTTTACATTGTTGGTGGGAATGTGAATTTGTTCAAACATTGTGGAAGATAGTGTGGCTATTCCTCAAAGATTTAGAGCCAGCAATGCCATTTGACCCAGCAATCCCATTACTGGGTATATACCCTGAGGAATAGAAATCATCCTATTATAAATACACATGCACATGTGCGTTCACTAAAGCACTATTCACAATAGCAAAGACATGAAATTAACCTAAATGCCCATCAATGATAGACTAGACTAAAAAATATGGTACATATATACCATGGAATACTATGCAGCGAAAAAAGAAATGAGATCATGTGTTTTGCAAGAACATGGATGAAGCTGGAAGCCATTTTCCTTATCAAACTAACACAGGAACAGAAAACCAAACACAGCATATTCTCACTTATAAGTGGGAGCTGAAGAATGAGAACACACGGATACAGGGAGGGGAACAATGCACATTGGGGCCTATCGGAGAGAGCAGGAGGGTGGGTAGAGCATCAGAAAAAATAGCTGAAGCATGTCGGGCTTAATACCTAGGGGATGGGATGATAGATGCAGCAAACCACCATGGTACACATTTACCTATGTTACAAACCTGCACATTCTGCAGAAGTACGCCAGAACTTAAAATCATTTTTAAAAAATCTAGACAAAGCAACAATGTTATCTCTCACCATTCTTATTCAACATTGCAAGAGAGTAGCCAAAACACTAATGAAGAAGAAGCACAATGTTGGAAGACCCTCACTATCTGTTTAAAGTCTCCCTATAAGGCTATAGTAATCAAAAAGATTGGTATTGGTAAAAGAACAGACACATTGATCAAAGAATTAAAATATGGAGTCTAGAAATAAGCAAGAAAAATATAATAAACCGATTTTTTGACAAAGGAGTGAAGACATTTCAATGAACAAATAAATAGTGGCTGGAAAAATTAAAAACCTACATACCAAAAAGTGAATCTAAATACAGACCCTAGACCTTAGACAAAAATTAACTCTAAATAGATTTAGACTGAAATGAAAATGCACAACTAAAAAAATTAAGGAGAAAGCACAGGAGAAAATATACATGACCTTGAGCTTGGTAATACCTTTTAAGAAAGAACAGCAATAATATTATTCATAGAAGAAACCAATTATTATTTGGCTTCATTAAAATAAAAAACTCTATCCTATAAAACATACTATTAGGAGATCAAAAAGACAAACTGCAGACTAGAAGAAAAAATTGGCAAAATACACATCTGATAGAGGGCTTCTATCCAAAATACACAGAGCACACTTAAAACTCAACAACATTAAAACACACAATCTGATTAAAAATTGGGCAAAAGGTCTGAACAGATACGTGACCAAAATGATATACAGATTGGCAATAAGTATATTAAAAGATGCTCAATATCATTTTCCATTAGTGTAATACAAATCAAAACAACTATGAAGTACTACCATATACCTATTAGTATAATCAAAATCCAAAATCCTGAAAGTATGAACTGTGGATAAGGATCCAGAGAAACAATAACTCTCAGTCTTTGTGCATGGTATTATAGAATACTATGCAGCCATGAAAAAAAAATTAAATAATGTTTTTTGCAGCAACTTTGACGGGGCTCACTATCCTGAGTAATGCAACTCAGAAATGAAAAACCAAATACTGCATGTTTTCACTTATAAGTGGGAGCTAAGCTATAGGTATGCAAAGACATACAGAGTAGACATAGAGACTCAGAATAGGGGAAGGTAGTGGGGGTGATGGATTAAAAACTATCTATTGGGTAAAACATAATGACTGTACCATTTTTTTTTTATTGCAATAGCACTAGAAGCACAAGTTTTTTTTATGTGAATGAATTGTACAGTGGTGAGCGCTGGGATTTTAGTATACCCATCACCCAAGTGGTATATGGCACATATATACCATGGAATACTATGCAGCCATAAGAAAAGATGAATTTGTGTCTTATGTAGGGACATGGATGCAGCTGGAAACCATCATTCTCAGCAAACTATCGCAAGAACAGAAAACCAAACACCGCATGTTCTCACTCATAGGTAGTGATTATCAGGGTTCAGCACGGTAAATTAACTTCTTTTTCTTTTGTTTCTCATTCTCCATTCTGTATTCTTTGGAGGGAAGTCACCACATACACACTACACTTACAGAGTGAGGAGATATGTTCCAACTTTTAATAATGTGGAATCTACATTTTAATGATGAAGTATCTAAAGTATCTCAAATTATTCTGCATAGGAAATTGGCCTCTTTTCCCATTATTTATTATTTACTTTTATCAGTATAACCTCCTGGATATTTATATTATACTTTGGATTACAATCCAATATTCCTTTATTTTTGAGGTCTAGCCAAGATTTGGCATTGGGACTCATTCAGCTGGTTTCTTTATCCCTTTGATACACCTCCATCAGTAATAGAACTTTTGTTTTGATTTTTGGATTCTTTACTACTTTCTGGTTCTTCAAAAGCCTTCACAGTTATTTTGTATATTTCCTGCTGCAGTTATAGAATCATTTACTCTGAGAAATGCTGTGGTTTTCTTAATTGGAAAATGGTATAGAAAGTCAAATCTTGTTGCTGTGCATGCCCAAAACTACAAAAAAAATGTTGCATTAAGGTCTCTCAATTGACACAATGAGGAAAACTATGTGTTTACTCACCCATGCATGTAGATATATCTATTTATAGTTCTATATGTTAATATCTGTATCAATAGAAAGCTAAACATACATTTATGTAGATCTCTCTTACTCTAATCTTTCTTCCCCCCCGCCCCGCCCCAGGCTGGAATGCAATGGCCGGTTCTTGGCTCACTGCAACCTCTGCTTCCCAGGTACAAGCGATTCTCCTGCCTCAGCCTTCGGAGTAGCTGGATTCACAGGTGCCCGCCACCATCGCTGGCTAATTTTTGTACTTTTAGTAGAGACGTGATTTCACCATATTGGCCAGGCTAATCTCGAACTCCTGACTTGAGGTGATCTGCCTGCCTTGACCTCCCAAAGTGCTGGGATGACAGGTGTGAGCAACTGTGTCTGGCCTATTCTAATCTTTTACAACACAGATCAATGTAGCTTCTTCTCTTTACTTACGTGTAACATTTCTTTTTTTTTTTTTTAACATTTCACAAAAAGTTTTATTCTTTGCTGATAAGATTAACTATCCAACTTTTTCTGATGTCTTTTTACAGGATACAGCCAAAACTAAAATTTAGACTATATAATGAAGAATAATTTTTAAGTTTCTTTTTCCTCCAATCTCATATAAGTTGGAGACATGGGCAAGGAAAACTGCACCGCTCTGGCTGAGTTCATTCTCCTCGGACTATCAGATGTCCCTGAGTTGAGAGTCGGCCTTTTCCTGCTGTTCCTTCTCATCTATGGAGTCATGTTTTTAGCCAACCTGGGCATGATTGCACTGATTCAGGTCTGCTTTCAGCTCCACACCCCCATGTACTTTTTCCTCAGCCATTTGTCCTTTGTAGATTTCTGCTATTCCTCAATAATTGTGCCAAAGATGTTGGCTAATATCTTCAGCAAGGACAAAGCCATCTCCTTCCTGGGGTGCATGGTGCAATTCTAATTGTTTTGCACTTGTGTGGTCACTGAGGTCTTCCTGCTGGCTGTGATGGCCTATGACCGCTTTGTGGCCATCTGTAACCCCTTGCTGTACATGGTCACCATGTCTCAGAAGCTGCGTGTGGAGCTGGCATCTTGCTGCTACTTCTGTGGGACGGTGTGTTCGCTGATTCACTTGTGCTTAGCTCTGAGGATCCCCTTCTATAGATCTAATGTGATAAACCACTTCTTCTGTGATCTGCCTCCTCTCTTAAGTCTTGCTTGCTCTAATATCACTCTGAATGAGGCGCTGCTGTTCCTGGTGACCATTTTGAATGAGAGCGTTACCATCGTGATCATCCTGACCTCCTATCTGCTAATTCTTTTTTTTTTTTTTAATTTTGACTATTTTTAAAAATTTATTTATTATTATTATACTTTAAGTTCTAGGGTACATGTGCATAACGTGCAGGTTTGTTACATATGTATACTTGTGGCACAAGACAGGGATGCCCTCTCTCACCACTCCTATTCAACATAGTGTTGGAAGTTCTGGCTAGGGCAATCAGGCAAGAGAAAGAAATCAAGGGTATTCAGTTAGGAAAAGAAGAAGTCAAATTGTCCCTCTTTGCAGATGACATGATTGTATATTTAGAAAACCCCATTGTCTCAGCCCAAAATCTCCTTAAGCTGATAAGCAACTTCAGCAAAGTCTCAGGATACAAAATTAATGTGCAAAATTCACAAGCATTCTTATACACCAGTAACAGACAAACACAGAACCAAATCATGAATGAACTTCCATTCACAATTGCTTCAAAGAGAATAAAATACCTAGGAATCCAACTTACAAGGGATGTAAAGGACCTCTACAAGGAGAACTACAAACCACTGCTCAGTGAAATCAAAGAGGACACAAACAAATGGAAGAACATACCATGCTCATGGATAGGAAGAATCAATAACGTGTAACGTTTCATTCCAGCATTGGAAAACTTGATTCTGAACATGTTTCATTCACTTAGTCTTCCAATTCCATTACATGTATATAGTAATTTCAGAATTATTAACCCTTACCCCCTTGGGAAAGAAAAAACTTTTATCTGTGAGAATACAGTACTTATATATGATTCCTTTTGATGTTAGTCTTACAGACTCCTCTCAGTTTTAAATTTACCGTGCTGAACCCTGATAATCACTACCTAAGCCAGGTGGTTAGGGTTTACATCAAGAATTGTAAGTCATATTGAATGCCCTGGTTGTGGTTTAATAAGTATTGCAATTTACTTCTGTGATTCCAAAAGTCTCCCCAAAATATCTTACCCTAGTCTGAACAAATAAAAAAAAAAATAGATAAATCCCATTTTGGAATCATTAGACAAAATACCTAAAAGAATACTTCTCAAAACTGTCAAAGTCTTCAAAAACAAGGAATGTCAGAGAAACTGTCACAGTCAAAAGGACTCTATGAGAACATCAATAATACATGTAATGTGGAATCCTCAGTGAATATTGGAACAGAAAAAGACATTAGGGAAAAATAAAGATTCTAAATAATGCATGTTCTTTTGTTAATAAGAGTTTATCAATATTTAAATTAATTGTGATGAGTGTAACATAACAATGTAAGATGTTAAAAATAAGTGCAACCGGATATGGGGTACACAGAAACTCTCTGTATTATGTTTGCTATAATATTGTAAATCTAAAGTAAAAATATTAAAAACAAATGCCAAAATGTGTATTTTTTTCTATTAAGATTATCAATATACAAAAGTATAGAATATTTTAGTAAATCATTAAAATATATAAAATGTATCTAACGAAATAAATTTCTAGTGGGTTAATGTGGCTTATGTACACATTCATTTTAGATAAAATAATGAACAAAAAGTGATATGTCTCTAACCTCTGAAATATATAGAATATAACTAAATATTTTGTTGCTCTATTCCAGTAGTAATCTTTTCCAGGTTTCTATCACTGTATCATTCAAATTTACTTCAAGTGTTATATGCATGTGTGTTGTTTTAACTAATATAAAAGTGTCAAGATCTGAGAATTGTGTACTTTCCAACTTTGCATTCCATCATATAACATAATTCGTGGTTTGTTACACAAGCAATATTTATTGAAATACTGACCAAATAAATGAATAAGGACATATTGTTTAGGCATATAAAGATGAATGTAATATCAAAACACAATCAGATATCACTGTAGAATAGTTTAAATTGTTAAAAAAAAAAAAAACTTTTTTCACTGTAAATGTGAAAATATTTTCTTAAGTTTGCTGTCATGTAATATCATATAAGATGATTTTAAAATTAATAGTCTGAATCAAACCAATATCATTTAAAAATAATTAAGAAACAGATCTTGGAAAAATATGTCTTCAAAAATGAGATAGGTGCATACATCCAATTATTATGCAAAATGTGACACTTAAATGTCTTTAACCCTCCAAAAGTTTCCTGCAAATATATATTCATGATTTTCAGTAGGTTAAAAACCACAGAACTGTACATTTTTAAATGATGAAAATAATGATATATTAATTACATCCCAATTAACGAAACAGAAATTAAGCAAATATAAAGATTTTAAGCATGTGATTCCATTCATAAACATGACGTTTTCAAATTTTAGAAAGTTAATTATATAAAAACATAGCAATTGGTGAAGAATACATTATTTATAATGCAAAAACAAGTGAAAAGTGTTTTTATGACAGAGCAAGACATGTGTTATGTATTAAATATATCTTTATTTGCATCATTGTAAATAACACAATGGCAACTGTTATAACATAAATTTTTGTAATGTTTTAATAGGCATATGTAAGCATAAGACATTGCTTTGGAGTACTGTTCAGCCAAAGTAATTAAATGAGAAGTCAATAGGAATCAGACCAATTATTTGCTTTACATGACTTAGATTAATCTAACAATAGATTTTAGAGGATCGGGGAAATGTTTGAATACAATGTTTCAGATAATCCTCTACAAATACTAGTTCTCTCAGCAGTGTTTTTGAAAGGCATTGGGAGATAGCAATTGAGAGACTGAATAACCAAAAAAACCTAGACTGCAACTAACGTCTATATTGCTATTTGAAAGAATAATCAGTGCTATGTTGAACAGGAGTTGTGAGAGAGAGCATCCTTGTCTTGTGCTGGTTTTCAAGGAGAATGTTTCCAGCTTTTGCCCATTCATTATGATATTGGTTGTGGGTTTGTCATAAATGACTCGTTACTTTGAGGTGTGTTTCTTCAATACCTAGTTTATTGAGAGTTTTTAACATGAAGGGATACTGAGTTTTATCAAAGGCCTTTTCTGCATCTATTAAGATAATCATGTGGTTTTTGTCTTTAGTTCCATTTATGTGGTGAATTATGTTTATTTATTTGCATATGTTGAACCAGCGTTGCATCCCAGAGATGAAGCTGGCGTGATTGTGGTGGATAAGTCTTCAGATGTGCTGCTAGATTCGGTGTGCCAGTATTTTATTGAGAATTTTTGCATCTATGTTCATCAAGGATATTGGCCTGAAGATTTTTTTGTTGTTGTCTCTTGGCCAGGTTTTGTTATCAGGATGATCCTGGATTCATAAAATGAATCTGGGAGTTCATCCTTTCATTTATTTGGAATAGTCTCAAAAGAAATAGTACTAGCTTTTCTTTGTACCTCTGGTAGAATTCAACATAAATCCATCTGGTCCTGGGCTTTTTTTGGTTGATAGTCTGTTTGTTACTGCCTTGATTTCAGACTTCGTTATTGGCCTACTCAGAGATTCATCTTTTTTCTGGCTCAGTCTTGGGAGGATGTATGTGTTCAGGAATTTATCCATTTCTACAAGATTTTCTGGTTTATTTGCATAGAGGTGTTCATAGTAGTCTCTGATAGTTGTTTCTATTTCTGTGGGGTCAGTGGTGATACTCCTTTTTTTTATTATTATACTTTAAGTTCTGGGATAAATGTGCAGAAAGTGCAGGTTTGTTACATAGGTATACACATGCCATAGTGGTTTACTGAACCCATCAACTGATCATCTACATTAGATATTTCTCCTAATGCTATCCCACCGCTCAGCCTCTAATCCCCTGACAGGACCTGGTGTGTGATGTTCCCCTCCCTGTGTCCAGGTGTTCTCATTATTCAACTATGCCAATTATTCAATTCTGCCTTATAGATTCTTGATATTAGCCCTTTGTCAGGTGCGCAGATTGCAAAAATTTTCTCCCATTCTGTAGGTTGCCTGTTCATTCTGATGATAGTTTATTTTGCTGTGCAAAAGCTCTTTAGTTTAATTAGGTCCCATTTGCCAATTTTGGCTTTTGTTGCCATTGCTTTTGATGTTTTAGTCATGAAGTCTTTGCCCGTGCCTATGTCCTGAATGGTATTGCCCAGGTTTTCTTCTAGGATGTTTATGGTTTTAGGTCTTATGTTTAAGTTTTTAATCTATCTTGAGTTAATTTTTTATAAGGTGTAAGGAAGGGGTCATTGCCTCCATTTGAGTCTTCTCTCTTTTCTTATTAGTCTAGATGAAGATCTGATATCCAGAATCTACAAGGAACTTAAACAAATGTACGAGAAAAAACCAAACAACCCCACTGAAAAGTGGGCAAAGGACAGGAGCAGACACTTCTCAAAAAAGACATAAATGCAGCCAACAAACATATGAAACAAAAAAAAAAAGCTCAACATCACTGATCATTAGAGAAATGCAAATCAAAACCACAATGAGATACCATCTCACACCACAGAATGATGATTATTAAGAAGTCAAGAAACAACAGATGCTGACGAGGCTGCAGAGAAATAGGAACATTTTTACATTGTTGGTGGGAATGTAAATTAGTTCAACCATTGTGGAAGACAGTGTGACAATCCCTCAAAACCTGCAACCAGAAATACCATTTGACCCAGCAATCTCATTACTGAGTATATACCCTAAGGAATAGAAATCATTCTATTATAAAGATACATGCAAATGTATATTCATTGCAGCACTATTCACAGTAACAAAGACATGGAATCAACTCCAATGCTCATCAATGATAGACTGGATAAAGATAATGTGGTACATATACATCATGGAATACTATGCAGCCATAAAAAAGAATGAGATCATGTCCTTTGCAGGGACATGAATGGAGCTGGAAGCCATTATCCTCTGCAAACTACCACAGGAGCAGAAAACCAAATATCACATGTTGTTACTTACAAGTGGTAGCTGAACAATGTGAACACATAGACACAGAGAGGGGAACAACACACACTGGGGTCTGTCAGAAGGTAGGAGAGATGAAAGCATCAGAAAAAAATAACTAATTCATGCTGGGCTTAATACCTGGGTGATGGGTTGGTAAGTGCAGTGTATCACCATGGCACATGTTTACCTGTGTAACAAACT